AACCACTTCTGGCTTTTTTCTTTTTGCTTATGTGGTGCTGAGGATGAACCCAGGGCCTCAGGCGTGCAAGGTGAGTGCTCTACCACTGAGCCACCTTCCCAGCCCTCTTAACTGGTTTTTGTTTATTGTTTTTATTATTTACTATTGTACCAGCACTGCTCCTTGAAGTTTTCCCACTCTAGGATGGCAATTTATCACTTGAACCAGGTCTCCACTTCCGGCTTTTTGCTGGTTGTAGTCTTATAAGAATTTCCTGCCCTAACTGGCTTTGAATAATTGATCTCCAGATTTCAGCTCCCAAGTAGCTAGTATAGACATGAGCCACCAGTTCCATGTTCATTATTATTTTTTGTCTTTCTGTGGAGTGTCAGGGATACAAAAAATAGACTTCTAATTGCAATGAACTCACAATGCTAATTAATACAACTTTATTTTTACCATTTTTATTTTTACCATTTTTTTTTCTTGGATTGTTTCTAGTCGTAGAAAAGTTGCTGAGTATTCCTGACTGACTAGGTTAGCATGAAGAATAAAATATGGGTAAAGACATAGTAGTAAGTACATAGTGTTAACAGTTAATTTCAAAGTTTGGGAGTAATTTAGCATGAATTTGGTTTCATTACTTTTTTTTTTTTTTCAAAGTGGTGACCTGCTTGCCACAACAAAACAGGAAACAGGGTACCAAGTAAAACAATCTTCCTCCAAAGAGGCAGACTGTCTGCAAATGTAATCTCAAGTTCGAACTGCATTTTAGTGTCAATCACACATTCCAATACTGATGATGTTTCAGAGTGAAGTGGATAAAAGGACAAAACTATTACATTTCATGTGAACTTGCTTTCTGCACAGTGTGTATGTTTGGGTGAAGGCTGCTTTCAGTCAAACTGAATGTATGAGAATCAATGTTTGCATGAATATGTTTTGGCCACTCACCACTGGTGATATTTATTAAGCTCGGAGTTAAATTCAACCTGACATTTTGAGTCTTATTAATAATAGTCAGAATTTGTATTTGTTCTGTGATGAATCAAGAGAGCCTTAAGCCATATAGGGAAGGAAAGTGGTGTGTGTGTGTGTGTGTGTGTGTGTGTGTGTGTGTGTGTGTGTGTGTGTGTGTCCTTAATTGAAGGATATCACAGATGACTTTGCTGCCTAGCCTTGCTTTGACCCATGATCCTCAAAATTTAGCTAGGATTATAGGCCTGAGCCACTAGTACCCATCTTAAAACTGACATTTCTGTTCATAGGCTGACTGAGAGAAGGCTGGGCAGAGTCTAGCTGTTGGATCTTTCACAATAAAGAATGTGAGAGAAGGCTGGGCAGAGTCTAGCTGTTGGATCTTTCACAATAAAGAATGATCTACATTGATGTCTAAGGTTAAAAGGTCTAAACAGAATATGCCTGTTGATTGATTCCGGTCTAGAGCTGATATGAGGCATTTCTAACAACTTCATTTTTACTATAATAGTATGTGTGCCAAGTTGTTTATCAAAATGGGAACAGAAAGGTATATGACAGAAAATTTGTAGGCTGGGTTCTTTTTTTTTAAATTTTTTTTGTTAGTCGTGGGGCTTGAACTCATGGGCTGGCTTCAAACCACCATGATCCTCAGATATCAGCCTCCTGAGTAGCTAGGATTACATACAGGCATGAGCCACCAGCACCCAGCCTGAGTATGTGTGTGTGTGTGTGTGTGTGTGTGTGTGTGTGTTTTTGGGGGGGGGGTCCAGTTGTGGGGCCTGAACTCTGGGCCTGGGCGCTGTCCCTCAGCTCTTCAGCTCAAGGCTAGCGCTCTACCACTTGAGCCACAGTGCCACTTCTGGCTTTTTTCATTTTGCTTATGTGGTGCTAAGGAATCGAACCTAGGGCCTCATGCATGCAAGGCAAGCGCTCTACCACTAAGCCACCTTCCCAGACCTGTGTGTTTTTTAATGGATTAAAAAAAAATAACTCATGCTAAATTACTCATCATACCAATAGAGATATACTACAATTTCTCAATTGTCATTGTTTCTATTTATACCCACATAAAAAGTTGCCTAATAATCCGCAATTTTGTTTGAGTGTATGTAGGTGTGGTTTAGAAATGAACAGTCAGGGATTATATTCTTGGGGTGACTTGTGGGACTCAAGAGGTTACAAGGCTGCACTTACAAGATTTAATTAGAAAACTAAATTCTCACTTGTACCTGAAATTAAAGTATGTATACAACAAAGTAATGGTTCTTAAACTTCTTGAAAGAAATCAAACTTGCTATTCAATTATAATGTCAAAGGTTACTGTTTCAAACCTTGTAGGCTTAAGCTTTGATAGCCACATTGAATCTTTTTACCTGATAGAAGAAATACCCAGTTAGAGGCAAACTGTTTGAATAAGTAGAACAGCAAGATACTTAAGTTTCTTTGCTGGTGCAATTTTGAAGGTAAAGCAAAGACTTTCATTTCCACACATCCATCTAAGTTCACAGTGGTGTTAACTTTGGACTCTCCCAATTCACAGCCTCTCAATACCTCGAGATTGCATTTAATTAAACTGCATTATCATAACATCTGCATAGGGTTTTCCCTTGAGAAAAGACTTAAATGATCTGTGCCTTTTTTTTTTTTTTACACTAAGAGCAGGAAAAGAAATACCACCTACAAAAATCAATAGAGAGAACAAGAGAATAGAAACCCTTCACAAATTTTGAGCCTCATCTATGTAGTCTGATGTGGTAAGAAGTGCAGCTACATTTGAGCGATTCAAAGAGTCAAATGGTGTTGAGCTAAATTACAGCCCTAAATGCATATTGGTGAAATGAGATGCAGGTCCATTTGCACACTAATGTGCTATTTTTAAGTCATGCATCATGGTATCTTCAAAGAGGACTGTCATAATTATGATGGATTAGACTGCAAAGTCAGTCCTAGATGCAGTAATTGTTTCACAGATGCTGCCGATGCGACTTGAATTTATAATAAATTATTGTCAGAGAGGCAAGAAAAGGCACAGAATTAAATATCAAAGGGAAACTGCTCTGGCTGAAAACCTGTTTTGGTCTTAGGAAACCAAAATGTTAGCTACTAGCTAAAGGGACAGTATTCAAAATAGAGATGCTTCATAAATCTTCACATCAATGATAAAGGTCATAAGGAACATGGTGTCCCCTTCTTCCTTCCTCTTTCCCCACCCCTCCCTCTCTCTCCCTTTCCTTCTATACATCTCCTTTTCTTTCTCTCTCTCTTAGAAAATTGTTCTGTGCCATTAGCTGAAATCATGGAATGGCCATAGATAATGATTGTGTGTTCCTATTTATGCTAAATTACTCGGATATAATTTGACCTTTAGATTTTTGAAAAAAAAAAAAAGAAAGAAACCACAGAAGGGGGAAAGTGGGAGAGAGTGAAGGAAGGGGTAACACCACCCAAAAAGAAATGTACTCATTACCTGACTAAGAAATGGTAACCCTTCTGCTTAAAAATCATGGATATTTCCAGAAAATGAAACTGCTCTTTTTGGCTCTTCAGAAAGGCAGGATTTATTTATGAGGAATATTGGATTACTGCAGTAAAAGGTTAGACAAAAAAATGACAAATTGGATCTAAATGTGCTTTTTGGTTTTATTTGTGATTTCATTCAAATCTGTCTTATATAATTTCTAAAACTGCCTATTTGGTCTTCTAAGAAAACTCCGGGGGCTGGGAAGGTGGCTCAGTGGTAGAGTGCTTGCCTCACATGCATGAGGCCCTGGGTTTGATTCCTCAGCACCACATAAACAGAAAAAAAGGCCAGACGTGGCGCTGTGTCTCAAGTGGTAGCGTGCTAGCCTTTTTTGTTGTTGTTGTTGGTTGTGGGGCTTGAACTCTGGGCTGTCCCTTAGCTCTTCAGCTCAAGGCGAGCACTCTACTGCTTGAGCCACAGTGCCACTTCCAGTTTTCTTGTGGTTTATTGGAGATAAGAGTCTCATGGACCTTCCTGCCTCAGCTGGCTTTCTACTGCGATCCTCAGATCTTAGCCTCCTGAATAGCTAGGATGACAAGCGTGAGCCACCTAAACCTGGCTGCGTGCTAGCCTTGAGCTGAAGAGCTCAGGGACAGTACCCAGGCCTAGAATTCAAGCCCCACGACTGACCAAAAAAAGAAAGAAAGAAAGAAAATGCCAAAGTGGCATAGAGTACTTCACAAATACAATTCCAGATTTCCAGGAGGCAAATATAAGGAAGATCATAGCTCAAAGTTAGCCTAGGCAGAGTGAAACCTTACCTCAACAAATAAGCCAGGTATGGTGGAACATGCCTGTAATTTTAGTTACTAAAGGAAATGAAGACAGAAAGATTGGGGCAAATTAGGAAATCCTATCTAAAAGAAACACTAAAATCAAAAGGATTGGAGACATAGGTCAAGAAGTAAAAACAATACCAAGTAAAAAAAAAATACCGTACCCATTTTTATGATTTGTCTATATGTTGTTAATTTTCTGTGTTGATGTGTGTCCTTGAAGGGGTAGGGGTGGGGAAGCAGCCCAGGCTAAGGGAGATAATCCTTTTTTAAAAATCTGCTAACATAGGTCTTGACAAAGTAAAGATCTGAGTGTTAAAACTTGCAATGAAGATGATCTAAGGACTATGTAGAAAGTGTAAACAAGAGAACTTGGCAAGGAATTGGATACATGAAGTACTAGGGGAAAAGAAAGAAAAAGGATTTTTCTTTATAATTCTTAGAATTTTGATCCCAAAGAATTATTTGGAAAAGAAGTTGGTACTAATTACTGATAAACTCCCATGTCAGCTAATAATTTTTATTAGCCATTGCGCTCCATGACCATAATGACCTGAGAGTTGTTGGAAAGATAAAAAATGAACACTTCTCAAGTAGCCATTGGTCCATCATTACAGACAGAGAAAATGAGTATAACTTTCTTCCAAAGGTATTCCTATACTACTTCAGTGACAGTTATCATCTAAGTTATCTGTTAGTGTTGATGTATACTGATGCATCATATTTGTTTCCATGTTCTTTAGGATTCATTCAGAGGGCAGCCTTGTGGATGGCCCCGAAGCAAGCCCGATGGAAGAGGATAGAACCAACCATGTGGAGGGCAACAGACAAAGTCCATTCCTGAGACCATTACCTTCCCCGATCTGCCAGGCAGAACCTCTGGCTGTAAAACTCCAGAATGGAAGCCCAGTAACTGAGAGACCACATCAAGAAGTAAATGGAGATACCAAGTGGCAGTCTTTCAAGAGCTATTACGGAATACCGCATATGAAGGATAGCCAGAGTAGTTGCACCAGTCCAGATTTCATCCAAGAAGGCCAAGGGTATTCCAAGCATTTGCCAAATAGAGGAATAAAACGCACACTTAGTGAACCGTCTCTCTCTGGGCTCCCAAATAACCGGAAATGGAAACAAGACCAAAAGGCTAATGGAGAGAGAAATAACTTCGGGGAAAGGCAAGAAAGAAATCCAGGTAAAAGCAGCAGTCAACCAAATGTCTCCGATTTGAGTGATAAGACAGAATCTGTGAGCTCAGTCACCCAAGAAAATTCAGTGAAAAATTCCACCAGTTTCCCATCCAGTCACTGCAACGGCTCTGAAAATCCAGAGCTTCAGATTCAGAATGAGCAGGAAAGGGAAAATGCTAGCTACCACAACAAGAACCTTGTATTACTTCTTACAAACCAGGCAGTGCTAATGCCTAATGGTGCTACCGAATCTGCCTCTTCCATGGAAAACACACATGGTGAGCTCCTGGAGAAAACACTGTCTCGATACTATCCAGGGTGTGTTTCCAATACAGTGCAGACGACCACATCTCACATCAATGCCATTAACAGTCAGGCTACTAATGAGTTGTCCTGTGAGCTCACTCACCCACTGCATACCTCAGGGCAGAACAATTCCCAGACCTCAATCCCTGAGCTGCCACCAGAGCCAGCAGAGGCCTGTGATGCTGAGCATGCCAAGAAACCCATGGCAATGCTGGGGACCACTTGTTCCCCCCAAACACCAGACTACCGCCAACCACAAAAGTCACTCTTTGAGCTTGGCTCATCTCCAGCAGAAAACAGCCACCTTCAAGGAAACATGAGACTCGTCTCTGGTGAAGAATTCTGTTCAGGTGTCAGAAGCAAGTCGCAAGCTCCTCATGGCAACTCTGAACAGTATTTAAAGCAAAATGAAATGAATGGTGCTTACTTCAAGCGAAGCTCAGTGTTCACTAAGGATTCCTTTCCTACCACTCCCACGCCACCCCAACTGCTTCTTTCTCCCCCTCCTCCTCTTTCTCCTCTTCCTCAGTTTCCTTCAGAAGGAAACAGCACTCTGAAGGATGGAGTTTTGGAAGCAAACCACCACCATCCGAACCAAAATAACATAACTCTTCTACAGGAAGTGAAAGTTGAAGGTCAACGTTTGACCAGAGCATCCCAGAGTCCTGATCCCTCTGCCAGCCTATCCAACCCTTCCCTGTTGCTTCCAGAAGGTCCTCAGAATAATTGTGTTAATAACAATGGCCTCCGGACACCTGGTACAACCACTGTTCCCTTGGCTTCTGAGAAAACCACAGTAGCAGAACATCTCAAACATAACCCTCCAACCCTTGGTAGCCACCATCCCCAGCAGCTGATGGGCTGCAAAGAGGAAGCGATGGGGAAGGATCGAACACAAGATCACGTGCTCCCAACTCCACACTCTCTGAAACCAGGATGGATTGAATTGAAGACTCCGCACTTTCATCAAGCGGAATCTCATCCACCCTTCCGTGAGGCCTCGCGACAGTGTCAATCCAACAATGCCCATCCAATCACCTCCACACAATACACTGGAAATTCCAACATAAGTGGAGGGCTCTCCAGGCAAGTTTATCTCCAGAAAATGATGCCGCGGGAGCAGAAGTTACAAATGTACCAGGTGGAGACAGGTCAAGGGCAGTCTCAAGGTATGCTGGACCAACATCTCCAGTTCCAAAAACTCTCTCCCCAAGGGCATGTTTCTAAGACAGAGCCTTCGCCTGAACCTCCCAGGAAGGTACCGTGTGCCTCTCGATTTTATTTTCCACAAAGAGCAGATCCACACACTGAGAAGTTCCTGTCCCCACAATTAAAACGGCACTTGAATCAACAGGTTACTGAGCCTGAGCCCTTTTCAAGCTCAACACTTAAGCGTCTCAAGAAGGCTGAACAAATCCCACCATCCCCAGATCCACACTTCTCTCAAAACCAGCAGCTGCAGCAGCAAAAATTACAAATGAGGAGTAAAGAACAAATGTCTCAGGCTTTCCCTCACCCCCAAGGTAATAACGATCAGCAAAGAGAAGGATCATTCTTTGGCCAGATTAAAGTAGAAGACTGCTTTAGTGGTGAAAATCAGTATTCAAAACCAAATGAGTTCCAAGCTCGTACTACCCAAGAAAAATTAGAGCAAGTACAGAATACTAATAGAAATGTCCCTTATGGTCAGATCTTGAAGTCAAGTGCAAGCAATCCACACCTTATCCCAGAGGGTAATGAACAAACCATACATTCTGAAGTCTTTGGAGGAAGCAAGACCCCCAACTTGCACCACATGCACTATTTTCCAAATCATGTGACTCCAAAGCAAGAAGTTCCTCACAGGTGCTTTCAAGAACAAGAGCAGAAGCCTCCACAAGCTTCAGTTCTACAGGGATATAAAAGCAGAAGCCAGGAAATGTCAGGACAACAAACTGTACAACTAGCTCAGCAAAGGTACTTGATGCATCACCCTGCAGAGGCATTTCCTGCTTCTGATCAGGGAGGATGTCGCATTCGTGTTAGCCCTACCCCAAAGGACATCCAAAAGCATGCTGCTCTCAGGTGGCACCTCTTGCAAAAGCAAGAGCAGCAGCAAGCTCAGCAAGTCCAAGCTGAGTCCTGCCAAAATCAGATGCACAGGCCCATCAAAAGTGAGCCTGGCTCCAAGCCCCAGGCCTGTATGCGTGCAACAACACCTCAAGAGAACAAAACTTGGAAAAAGACACCCAAACAAGAGATTCCACCTCTGAGCGGCGAGAATAGCCAGCAGAAGAGCATCATCGAGACCATGGAACTGCAGGTGAAGCAGTTTCAGGCCAAATCACTCTTTGACCATAAAGCACTTAGTCTCAAGTCCCAGAAACATGTGAAAGTAGAGATGTCTGGGCCAGTGACAGTTTTAACGACACAAATCAATAGCCACACTTCAACATCAGAGCAGCCAGCATCGCCTTTAGAAAAGACGCCCAGCAAAAGAACAGCTGGCTCCATTTTCAATAGTTTTGTAGAGTCACCTTCCCAATTATTTGAGGCGCCTATAAAAAATTTATGGAGTGCACCTGCCAAGACCCAGTATGATTTCCCATCGTGCAGATGTGTAGGTAAGTGCTAGACACGTACTGAAGCACATGGTGTTTATCCAGAATTAGCAAAATTTATCTTCAGATATGAGATGAGTTTTCTTTTTTTTTAAATCTTGTGTCTGGGAGCAATTTTTAAAGGCTCATAAAACCTCCAAAGCTTTCCACCACCACCCCCTAAGTTATAGATCCTTGTGCTGAGCCAGAGAAAGCTTCATTTGCATGTTTCCCCCCAAATTTAAATAACTAGGCATGTTCATTTCGCCCCCTCAGTTCCACTCTCTAAAATATAAATGTATTTGTTTGAAATTTCTTGATTTAATTCTTTGAATATCATCTGAAGAGGCAAACAGGTAGTTAAAAAAATGATCAACATAAGAGAATAACTGTTCCAGTACAAGCTAATGTAGGATTGTTCATTTTTCTAGAATTTGGAGCTTATTTGTTTTAGAACATTTCTCTGTAAGGAAATTATTACCTTTAATCTCTTGAGTTGGAGAAATCACAATGCAAAGCTCTGAGAGTACTCACTGTGACCTTTCCCCCCTAAATACAGTTAAGATGCTGATTTCTATTCATTTTTGTTTCATTTTTTAATTGTTTCATCTGTTTTCTTTTTGATTTTTATCTTCTTTATTTTATTGTATTCTTTGGTTTGGTTTTGCCAGCACTGGGGCTTGAACTCAGGGCCTCATGCTCTCACTCACCTATTTCATTCCAGGCTGGTGCTCTACCACTTGAGCCACATCTTCACTTCCAGCTTTTTGCTGATTAATTGGAGATAAGAGTCTCAGATTTGCCTGCCCAGGCTGCCTTCACAGTCCTCAGCTTTCAGCCTCCTGGGTAGCTAGGATTACAGACATGAGCCACCGCTATCCAGCTAATATTTCACCTTTTGATAAAATGGTATTTCTACTTTTTTTTCCTTAAAAAGAAACAACTTTCTGTTAAAATTCAGATCATGTGACCAGTCTGTAATAAGGAAATGTTTTGGCTGCTGTCTGCAGATGAAGTATGGGCAGAGATGATCTTAACCACAGCTAAGAACAGGAACAGAAGCAAAGATATTTAAGAAAGCAAATGTTCAGTTAGCATGGATAGTGGCCTAACTTCTCCACGCTATCTGTCCTTGCTGTGATGCGTAGATTGATGGAGGAGACCCCATATTTTCCCTCCTTATGTGTAGTCACTAAGTTATGTTCCTGGGCTAACATGCCACACAAGATTAGATAAGTCATGACTTTTATTTCTTTCTCCTCACCCTAGTCCTACCTTGCTTCCATCTTTTGGGTTAACAATTGCCCCTGCTTTACTCTCAAGTATTTTCTCACATCATCATCCAAATGTCTGTCTAGATTGAACATTATCATTTTAAAAATAGAGTCATTAAATGTGGTAGTAAATATGAAGCAGAAGAAGGGAGCTGGCTGAGTGCCAGTGGCTCACAACTATGATCCTAGATACTCTACTTGGGAGTCTGAGATTAGATGATCAGTTCAAAGCCAGCCTGGGCAGGAAAGTCCATGAGACTCTTATTTCCAGCTAAACATCAGAAGCCAGAAGTGGAGCTGTCACTCAAATGGTAGAGCACCAAACTTGAGCGAAGAAGCTCAGCCTTGAGTTCAATTCAGATGCAGTACTGGCACAAAGTTTTTAAAAAGAAAAGGAAAAAAAAAACATAGACTTTTGACAAGAAACTGAATGATATTCTGGGGGTGGTATTAGACAGGGAATTTTATTTTTAAAATTTTGACATTCATAAGTGGTAGGCAAACTTCTAATTAGCTTGAATTATTTTTTTCCAGCTTACAAAGTTGAGTTGTACTTGATATTACATATAATACATTCTAATTCTTTTGTTGTTGTTGTTTAGTTCCACTTCTTTGGTTTAAAATTATTTCTTATATGCCATGTCTGAAATGTAATTTGGTAATCTTTTCCAGTAGCCTTCATGTACATAATACTTAATCATCTGGCACAATAACTCAGTCCATCAAGTTACTCATTTTAAAGAAAAAATTTTAAATAATTTACAGCCCTTCATGTGCAGATGGGGGATACTTTTTGTGGATGTAGCCTTTATATTTAGTGTAATTGAGGTCTATAATAATAATCTTCTATTATCTCAACAGAGCAAATTATTGAAAAAGATGAAGGTCCTTTTTATACCCATCTAGGAGCAGGTCCTAATGTGGCAGCTATTAGAGAAATCATGGAAGAAAGGTAATTAACGCAAAGGCACAGGGCAGATTAACGTTTATCCCTTTGTATATGTCAGATTTTCCAGCCTTCACACACAAAGCAGTAAACAATTGTAAATGGAGTAATTATTAGTAGCTTAGCTCTTCCGGGCTTGCCAACACTACACACTGCACTATTCACCAGGGAGTCACAATATTTGACAGGACTAATAGTCTCTGAGCTGGCACAGGCTACCCACTCTGAGTTAGATGCTAGAAATAGAAAAACTTAGGCACCAACAAGAGTCATCCAACCAGTCTGCCAGGCACAGGGGTGCTGGCACAGGCTGCAGAGTCCCCTGCTGGGCCTTTCCACTTGATAGTGTCAAAGAGGAAAGAGTGGGAAAGTAGCATAAGAAAGTAGTCGTTGAGGTAAATTGCAAATGTGTAAGTTACCTTTTGAACCAAGAGAGCAAGGGTGATGTGTTAAATAGAAAAGACATGGTTTATAGCTGCCTTTTAAAAAAAATGATCAGTCACAGGTCTGCTAATTAGTATTTGCGAGTATCAACACTTAACTCCTCCAAAAGAAGACTTTGTAGGTGTCTACAACTCTGAGCTTGTAATCTACTAGTCTTTCCTTACGTGGTAGCCTGGATGAGCATGGAAATACAGTAGGAAACATTGGGCAGCAAGGATACTTTGAGTACCACTCTTGCTGTATTTCCAAACCACACATTTCTAAATTAATGCATAGAAAATTAACTAAATAAAATCACCCTAGCAGAGAAAGCAAATCTCTCCAAATGGTCCCTTTTATTAGCAAAAAGTCTCTACTGTCTATTTCTAGCACTATCCTGTATTTTCAAATGGGTGGATGCTAAGTACTTGTCAAGACCTTTTACAAAATGAGATTTAGTTAACTCTATTATGAATCCCCAAGTTCTGAAAAATAGATTTAGTAAAGGTCAAAAGTCAAATAGTGTATGTTTTAAAAGACTGAATTGGGCAAACTAAAATTTTGCACTTTGTGAAATTATATATTAAGAAAAAAAATCTGTCCCAGTATTTCTCTACCCAACATGTAAGACAGGAAATAATAGTTCATTACATTTTCTGGTATATTTTGATACTGCAGAAAAGTAAGACATCAAAGTCTATTATCCAGTTGCTTGGCTTAGACCTGTTTTTAAAATAAATAAATAAACCATTTATTTCTCAGGATGTGGTCATAGGATAAAATTGCACTTAAATGTTCAAATATTTTGATTGCTTCTTGAAATCATTTTTTCTAATTGTGTGTGTGTGTATTTCTGTGGGTTTCTTTAAGGTTTGGAGAGAAGGGTAAAGCTATTAGAATTGAAAGGGCCGTCTATACCGGCAAAGAAGGCAAAAGTTCTCAGGGATGCCCTATTGCTAAATGGGTAAGTGTGACTTGAAAATGCCTTTGGTCTTCAATCTTGGGAATTTTGGCTCAATACAGCCCTGAAAATTGGGTTAGTATACAGGTTGAAGGGCACGTTTTGGCCTATATGCTATCATGTATGTGGCATCTTTTAATAAGGTGGATTCCTATTCAAATCATAGACACAGTGTACTTAATAGGGTAAAGGCCCGTCTTATTGCCTGCTTAAAGTATAATTCTTGGGTTGTGAAGAAATAGTCCTTAATGCTTTAAACATCCTCAATTTCCCCATAGGTTGTGTTAATGCTAACACTGAATTCTGACCTGCATGTTTTTTATTTTATTATATCAAATTGTACCACAGGGGGTTCAATCCAACATATTAACTTATGAATACAATGCATCTGGCCCCTTCCATCATTCTCTCTGTCTCCCTCATCTCCACCCATTCCCCTCAACTCTTGCATGTCTGGAGTCTGCATTAGCATGTCTTTGCTTGCATTAGCTCTGGCTTTTCATGCAGGTGCCATTTAATTAGTGGCTCCCACTGTGCTGGTATAGCGTGCTAACCATTAGAAATAGTTGTATACTTCTCTTTTCTGACCTCCTAAGCTAAGCTCCCCATAAACAGTAAAATATGTTTGCAACCAATGATCTATATTATATATGATATATTATATATATATATATATTATATTAATTTTAACTCAGAAGAGCCAGTGTTCTTGTCTGCCACAAGTGACCCTTGTTCCATTTTGGGCGGGGTGGGGGATTCTGGGGATGAATGGGGACGCACGCAGGTGATACGCAGAGCTAGCCTGGAGGAGAAGCTGCTGTGTTGTGTCCGAGAGCGAGCTGGCCACCGCTGCGAGGCGGCCGTGATCGTGATTCTCATCCTGGTGTGGGACGCGATTCCCATCCAGCTGGCCGACACCCTGTACTCGGAGCTCACCCAGTCGCTGAGGAAGAACGGCGCCCTCACCAATCGCCGCTGTGCCCTCAATGAAGAGTAAGTGGAGCCAGGGGCTCTCTCCCCTTGGAGGAGGAGTCGAGCCTGTAATCTCACATCTATGAAGAAGAGATCAAAATGCCTAGTTCGCTGTTAGGCAATGTAAGTGTCTGCTCATGGGAAAGACAGGAGGTGGTTTCATTTGGGTTTTGTATACTCAGTTTAGAAAGTGGAAGTATATCCACATGGCCTCAACTGTAGCAGAGAGAGAGAGAGAGAGGGAGACAGAGAGAGAAAGGGGGAGAGAGAGAGAGAGAGAGAGAGGGAGGGAGAGAGGGAAACAGGAGGGGGGTGAGAAAGAGAGAGAGCCTGTTTGCCTGTACTAAGTCTTGAACTACTAAGTCTTGAACTCAGGGCCCACACTCAGCTTTTTTGCTCAAGGCTGGAGCTCTGCCACTTGAGCTGCTGGTCTACTTCTGGCTCTTTTTTTTTTTTTTTCCTTTTGCTGGTTAATTGGAGATCAGGGGTTCTTGGATTTATCTGCCTTGGCTGGCTTTGAACCAGGAGCCTCTGATCTCAGTCATCTAGTAGCTCGGATTGGGTCCCAGGTTGGCTTCCATTTTACTGTTGCAGAATAGTTGAAAATTAACTGTTTCTATATACATTATTTCTAACGAATTCCATTGTTATTATTAGGGTGTTGTACAAAAAAGCTCTTCAGCTTAAGGCGAGCGTTCTTCCACTTGAGCCCTCTGTGCCACTTCCCATTTTATGGTGGTAACTGGAGATAAGAGTTTCACAAACCATCCTGACCAGGCTGGCTTTGAACCTTGATCCTCAGATGTCAGCCTCCTGAGTAGCTAGGATTACAGGCATGAGCCACCAGCACCTGGCAAAAATTACTGTTTCCTAAGTCAGACGATGAGACATTATCTACATTATTTTTTTTTTTATTGAGGTTAAGTGATTGTATAAATTTCACCAATTTCACAGCATTGTGAGATAGGGATACTTAGTTCAAGTCACAAACACATTTTAGCCCTCACAAGGCAAACTCATTATCATGGTCCATAATGTTTGTGAATTCTATGAGCTTTGACAATACAACTATTTCTTCCACGTCGGGCAACATGTACGTTCCTTTCCTTCTGCCCAGTGTAAGCTGTTCCCTCTTTCCCTCTCATTCCCTCCTTTCCACTGCGGCCCTGGAGTTGCTTAGTTCGTGTTCATCAATGTCCAGTGCAGCTGATGGGTCCCACTGTCGCATACCTTCCCGTTTCCCCTTGACTCCATGCCCTTCCCCCAGCCTCCCTCAGATGTGCACATACCATATAAGTAGTCAAGAAGCAGTCAAGTCATTCAGAAATGATATGACAAACCGAGTGGAGGTCCTTTGTCTCTCGAGTCCTGTCTACCCTGTCATATCTCCCTGCACTTTGGATTCAACATCCACACACCAGGGAGACCATCTACCATATGTCTCTCGGCTCTTGGCTCACCTTACTCAAAATGATTTGCTCTAGTTCCATCCATTTACCTGCGAATGCCATTATTTTGTCCTTTCTATTGGCGAATTCCATCGTATATAGGTATCACAATTTCTGGATCCATTCATCTGAACATGGAGGTGCATGTGTGCTCGTATCCTGGTTCATGTCGCTATCTACATTATTATTATTATTATTTTGCCAGTTGTGGGGCCTGAACTCGGCCTGGGCGCTGTCTCTCAGCTCTTCAGCTCAAGCCTAGCACTCTACCACTTGAGCCACAGCACCACTTTGGCTTTTTCTGCTTATGTGGTGCTGAGAAATCGAATTCAGGGCCTCATGCATGCAAGGCAAGCGCTCTACCACTGAGCCACCTTCCCAGTCCCATAGTTTTTCACTTTTGTCTACCTAACTCTACATCCATGAAACCACAAACTAATATACTGAGATGATGGAAATATTCATGCCCATCATTGTATCAACCCATCACTAAGCAGATTTGTTCTTTCTTTTTTCTTTATTGTGATTACATAAATTTCACAAATTTCACAGTATTGTGGGATAGTGATGCTTAGCCAAAGTCACAAACACATTTTAACCTTCATAAGGTGAATTGTCATTATCATGGTCTATAAAGCTTGTGAATTCTACAAATTTTGACAATAAACTATTTCTTCAAGATTGGATGATACAAGCATTTCTTTCCTTTTGCTTAGTGTAAGCTGTTCCCTCTTTCTCTCTCATTTCCTCCCTCCCCTGCCCTTGAGTTGCTTAGTTCATTTTCATCAATGTCCAGTGCAGCTAATGGGTCCCCTCTGTTGTATTTTTTCATCCGTTTCCTTCTGATTCTGTACCTTCTTCCTAACTTCCCTCAGGTGTGCGCATGTGTAAACCATATGTAAGGCCAAGAACATGGAGTCATCTAGAAATGATGGGAACAAATTAAGAAGAGGTCCTTTGTTTCTTGAGTCCTGTTTACTTTGTCATATCTCCTTGCATTTTGAATTTAACATCCGCATATCAGGGAGACCATTTGTCTCTCTGATCTTGACTTACATCTCTCAACATGATTTGTTTTAGTTCCATCCTGTGAATGCCATTATTTTGTCCTTTCTGATGGCAGCATAATATTCCATTGTATATAGGTACCACAAGTTTTGGATCCATTCATCTGTAGTGGGGCATCTGGGTTGTTTCCATATCTTGGCTATTGTGAACTGCACATCAATGAACATGGAGGTGCATGTGTCCTCATATCCTGGTTCCTGTTGGTCAGGGTAGATGCCTAGGAGTGGCATGGCTGAGATTTAAGGAAGGTCTATGTTTAGTTTTCTGAGGAACCTGCAGACTGCTTTCCAGAGTGGTTGTATTGGCTGGTTGTATTGGCTTACCCTCCCACCAGCAGTGCAATAGAGTTGCTCTTTCTCCGCATCCCCACCAGCATTTGTGATTGTCTGAATTTAGGATATAGACCATTCTGACTGGGGTAAGGTGGTACCTCAGGGTTGTTTTGTTCTTTATTTTAAGTAGTTGTACAAAGGGGTCCAAATTAATTGCATCAGTTTAAGTGCAGTGCAACTCAGGTTTGCTCTATTTATTTTTGTGCCAGCCCTGGGGCTTAAATTCAGGGCTTGGGCATTGTCCTTGCACTGCTTTTGCTCAAGGCTAGTACTTTACCACGCAAGCCACAGCTGCACTTCTTCAGGCTTTTTTTTTTCCTTTTTTTCTGCTGGTCCTGGAGCTTGAACTCAGGGTCTGGGCACTTTTCTGTGCTCAAGGCTATCACTCTACCACTTGAACCACAGCACCATTTGTGGCTTCTTCTGTTGATGTGGTACTGAGGAATTGAACCCAGGGCTTCATGCATGCTCGGCAAGTATTCTACACTAAGCCATATTCCAAGCCCTTCAGGCTTTTTATTGGCAGTTTATTGGAGATGGACTTTCCAGCCCAGGCTGGCTTCCAACTACAGTCCTCAGATCTCAGCCTCCTGCATAGCTAGGATTACCGGCGTGAGCCACTGGGCTCAGCTTAGGTTTTGTTTTTTGATGATTGTAACTCACATGGTTTTACCAACATTCTGTTAACGTAGGTTCTTTCTCTGGGTTGTGGTGGGGGCAAATCTATGCATGATCAATCATCTAGTTAAGAAGCTTGTACTTCTGAGAGTTGTGATGGGAAATTTTCCTAATATGTGCTTGACCACCACCAGTCCACTTTTACCAACAATCACTTCATAACACATGACTTGCAAATTTAGGATGAGTCATTTTGAATGTCAAATGCTTTTTTTAAAAAATCTGTTATTATAAAGATGATACACAGAGGGGCTACAGTTATATACGTCAGGGAAGGAGTACATTTCTTTTGGGTCCATGTCACCTTTCCCTTCCCCTCCCATTCTCAGCCACCAGTTGCTTCATTTTCAACATAGTGTCCAGTGAATGCCACTGCTGCTCATGCTTTCTTTGTCCCTGCATTTCTTTGTCTCCCTTCACCCTTCCAAAGACAATGAACAAACAAAACAAAAAGAAAAGAAAAGAAACAGCAACGAAAAAACATCTTGTTTCCATTTCCTGGGGTTCATTTTAGTAAATATTATTTTATATGATCAGAAGCACATAGGCATTATTTGTGTTCATCTCCGTAGAATATCTTCCTTTGGTTTCACTGTTTGTGAATGACTATATAATTCCTTATCATGTCCTAGTGTATTTTAGATGTTGCTTCCACTCATGAAAACATGAGCCATTTGTCTCTGTGAGCTTACCTCACTTACCATGACTTGTTCTAGGTTCATCCGTTTCCCTGCAAATGACATAATATTATTCTTTCTAATGCCTGTGTAAAATTCCATTGTGTATAGGTACCACATTTTTTTTTTTTTTTGCAACCACTCGTCTAGTAAGGGCATCTGTGCTGTTTCCATAGCTTGGCTATTATGAATAGTGCAGCAATGAACAAGTATCCTGACTTGTGATATTCTGGGTAGATGTACAGCAGTCAAATGCTTTTTGATCTATCATACACTTTCCTTATTCTTTCTGGAAAAAAGTGTGGCAGATAACCTTTAACCAGAAAGAAAATAAAGGTTAAGACATACCGTGTATATATTGACAATAGAATTTAGTAGGAATTTGTTAGTATTGGGGCTCATACTCTCAGACTGGAAACCACTTGAGCCAAAGCTGGTAAATTGGAGTTGTCTCATAACTTTTTTCTACCTAGGCAGTCTTCGAACCTGACCCATAGATCTCAGCTTCCTGAGTGGCTGGAACCTAACTGCATTATTTTTCAACATAATTTATCTTAGACTTGATGGCATGACATTCTAAGTCGCTGCTGATTCAGTTCTAGCTGAATTTAAGTTTCTTGGGGTTGCATGCAAACAGTCCTTCCTTCCTTCCTTCCTTCCTTCCTTCCTTCCTTCCTTCTTTCTTTCTTTCATTTCTGTCAGTCATGGGGCTTGAACTCAGGGCTTGAGTGTTGTCCCTGAGCTTTTGTGCTCAATGCTAGTGTTCTGTCACTTTGAACCACAGCTTCATTTAGTTTTGGGGTGTTAATTAGAGTCTC